TGTCACAGGGAGGAGGGCACCGTCCAGCCTGGAGCAGATGTGAAAGTGTATAGTGTAATGAGATGTAATATTCTTTAGGGGTCACATAGATAAACTTAAGAAACATCTTTGTTGGGCTGCAGCTCCGTGTTTACCATCAGCCTTATAGTCTACATAGCTGTTTGGACATCTTTGGTAATACATCATAGGCTAAAGAAATAGAGACTATGAATGAAAGGGAGATCTTATATGCAACTGAAGCCATTGAGTCTTTCCACCTCTTTGCAACAAAATGTTTTTCACTGGGGAAAATGCTTAGGGAATGCAGCATGCTAATGACATATGCCCTGAAGTTTGATTTTAATGGGAGAGAAGGCACAAGCCATCTGACTGTGTCTTACCTCTCCAGCTCTGCCACAAAGTTGGTGCATGGCCTTGAATAATTCACTTCCATCCCTGACTTTGTCTTCCTCCTTTCCCATTCTTTGTGCACCTGTTGGGCTGTGAAATCCTTGAAACATCAAAGCCTCTTTATATGCTCCCACAAGGCAGAGGATGGTTTGGCTCTGTTCTCAATTCAGAAATTCACTCTGGGAGTGAATCTTTTCAGGTCATTATGGTACATTACGTATTGATGCATGAAAGGGATCCATGCAGATGATCAGTTCTCAAATTACTGGGGAAATTATGACACTTGTTTTCAAAAGTCTTGCCTATATGCCCAGCTGAGCGCTTGCTTCACTCAGAGGTTATGGCTGACATTCTGAAATTCTCTGAGTGAGTCAGAAATGTGGAGATTAAATGGGAAATTTATCTTGAAGGAAGGACAAAATTACATGCCATTTATCTATTGAAATGGAGCTGTGTTTTGTTGAATGAAGAGAAGATCATTTTTATTAATCTGTTCTCAGAAATGCATCTCAAATATTTAGGCAGGTCAGGTGGCCAACCTCTAGGACTCTCTACTGTGGCTACATCCAGCCTCAAAATGGGCAGATAAGTAAGGAAAAGAAGGAGTTCAAGAAACTTAAMAGCAAGTATAGAATTCCTGGGACTGGAAGAAAGATTATTTGGAATATGCCTGCTTCTTTCTGTTGGACTTGTTGAACTTTTAGCACAGTAGTGAGAATGAGTACATAATTAATAAAGTATGTGTAAGTTTAACAAGAATAAGGTCTCGCTGGACTGATGTGAGACATCTGTATGGAGTCCCCAGGTGCTGCCAGTCCACCTCTTAGCAGCTGTGTAGGTAAGACTACATTTGTGTTGGCCAGAAACTACGCAGACAGGACAGAGCAGGAGAAAAATCTGTGAGACACACAACTGAAAGGACACAGTAAGTATAGCATCATCTAGAATAATACATTTCCAAATCTGAAAAGGATCTAACAGGTTTATAATATTGGCCAGCTCAGTGGTAAAAGGAGAGCCTACATCTTATTATGGAAAACTGCAAGAGAAGTTATCCCCATTTAACAATAATAAATAATGGGTAGTATACTCTCAGATCCCCAAATAAGTGAGCAATTTGCAGGGAGTTGCATACTCTTTTCCCTTATCAGCAGCTGTGTATTTCAAGCCAGAAGAAAATGAGATGGGAAGTTAAAGGTTTGGAGAAGCTGGTTGGTAAAATGACAAGAAAAAGGCATTCTGCAACAGTCTCCCAGCTCTGAATTATAAATGTGTCCTCCATCCCTCCCCCACACATATGCAGTTGTACACACACAATTTCAAAGAGCTTGCATATGGTTTGGTCAGGCACTGGACCACTAAAGATAAAGAGAACAATTAAGAATATTGCATAAAAATGAAGCAATTTCTTTGCATCTGCATTCACTGTGGAGATGCCTTTCTCTGAGCCAATTATTTTCAGATAATAAACAGAAGGCAATATCAGAGATCAGGTTGTCAAAAGAAGAGAATCTTAAAGAAACTGACAAAAAAACCCAAGAAATTGCCAGGACCAAGCACTGCAAAAGTTAATAAACAGTAAAATGATAAGTAAGAGGAAATGCACACTTCTATGAAAAAAAAAAGAGAAAAAGTAAGATTTGAGAAAATCTTCAAAAAGGCAGTCTTAAGAGTCACAGATCAATTGGYCTTACTTCAGTGTAAGACCACCATCTGAAGCAAAAAGCAAAAATAAAATATACCAACAGAGCATCATCTAAGGAAGCGAACATGCCGTGCTCTGTTTAGAGAAATGCCATACTTCTTAAATCTACTGAAATTCTCTGACAGACAAAGAGTAGAAAAGAAGCTTTCAGATGAACTGCTTGGATTTTTAGGAAGACATTCCTTAAGCAGAGGACTCAAAGAATTTTAAGTTTCCCATTGCTCCTACCTTTCCTTACCAACTAGSTATATGCTACACTCCGAAAGTGCAGGATGGAGGAGCATTGGCTAGTCCTTGTCACACGAGTTTGTATACCCTTCTGAAAGGAAAGGACTTTAAGGGAGACAAAGCTCTTCCGCTCAGAACAGCCTTTTTGATCCGTGGAAAAGACACTCAATAATAGCATCAGAATTTTACAATTTTATTCCAAACAAAAGTGCCCAAAGCAGGAAGACTTTATCATCTTTTTTTTTTTTTTTTTTTCCCCCCCTAAAACTTTGCATTGTTTTGAGTATCTCCACTGTACATTTTTGTTTACCAGTCAAATGATACCACATTTGCGCTTGGATTATGGAGCAGATCTAAAGGATGGCCTCAGGGCATTTCTGCAGCACGAGCAGTAAAGTGGCCAAATGTTCTGTAGCCCACCAGTGGACTCCCCAGATCTCTGTGCACCCAGACTGTGCTCATATTTATGCCTAACCTACTTTCCAGCCACTTCTTGTGCCGTCACAGAGCTTTTGTAGATGTACCACTGGGGGCAGGGAAGAATGCAAAAAAAAGGAAAAAAAAAAGTGCTCCAATTCTGTAGCTATTCACCTGATTCTTTTGCAAATTTGGCCCTGTATTTCCTGTAATTCACAAGCTGATAGACACTCAGGAGACTCCTAACTGCTAACATTCCTGTCAGCCATGTCCCAAAGAACAAAGGCAAGTTGAAGCATTTTTTAATTCTACCCTCTCAGCTCATCAACGCTGAGTTTACATAAAAATGTATGAACATTACAGTACACACACTGCTAATAATCAGAAACTAAAGCTTTGAAGTTTCCTTATTTCCCAGCTACTACCATGACAGATGCTTGCCAGAGAAAACTCAGGGGGCATTTGTTAGCAAGCATTTTGGCTAAGAATAGTGCCCATTGTGCTACTTAATATTTCAGCTATCTCTAGTGTAATCAGGGAACAGCAGTTACTTATTTATCTCACGTCTTGCTCCTTGCTAGCTACCTACTATCGCCAGCATGACCTCTGAAGCACACACATTAATTTTACCTCAGTATTTCTATAGCATCAATTAATAAAAACTGACTATGTTTTCAACAAACGCACATGTACTGATAAATGAGGGTCCTGACTTAATTGCTCTGTAAATTAAGAGCTCACAGTAGTGACAATAGAGAATAGTTTTAATATTTAAAAACTCATTAAATTTGTGTACATTTTGAATAATTAAAGTCACATGGCCACTTTAAAGAGCTCATTTAAGTTTGATTCTTAAATGTATATCACAGAAAAAATTGATCTGTTGAAAATTATAGGCTAATTTTCAGAACAACTTAATTTTATTCTATTACTTCTCTGAAATTCTGCATACATATATATGCATTTTTGTGACACTGGGATTAAACTGTGCTTGTGTCAGATATCTACCCATAAAAACATGAAAATCTAAAGTTAATGGCAATGTGTTCTTCTCTTTTGTTCATTGCTTCATAATTTTTTATTTTAATCCCTTAGATCTCACTTATTACATTTAAATTGTGGATGTTTTGGAGAAAACATGTTTTTTTGTGTGTGTGTGTTTATGACTTGCAGCTGTGTAAAAACACAGTTCAAGCACCCAAGTATGCATTATTTTGACAGGGCTTGAAAGTGTATGTTGAAACCACGGGACCTTTCAATTATATGTAAATTCAGGGGACAGTCACAGCYAAGCCTTAAAACTTTCAGTACTATTGTTTTTTCTCAACTCAGAACACTTATTTTTAAAAGTATTATTTTAAAGGATAATAACCAATTTCCAACTGAGAGCTAAGAGTTGCAAGGACTGACAAAAAATRATCAACAGCCTCACTTGATAACTTTCGTAGAGTTCAAGAGGACAAGTCAAACACGAAAATTGTTTCCTTTAGCTTTAGGATCCTGCTTAGGAYAGAAACAAATCTTGGTTATAGCAATTCACCTTTGTGCAGTTAACTTTTCTTTCTCCTGTGGCTCATATGTCAATCTTCATATTGTTACTAGTATTTAATCAGTGATTAAGCTGCCAAAGAGTAAATACAGACAGATTGTGCTACAACATTTCTAGGTTCTTTCAATATTATGAAGTGTAGTATTCAGGTAGGTGCTTAGATAYCAAAGTGATAGACACTCAATACCTAAAATAAATAGAATGATTCCCGATGAATTGTTGCAAAGTGACTTAAGTGTCTAGCTGGAGACCAGCAGATGGATTGTTGTTCACTGACTTTATTAAAGAAAAGTAAAGAGTAGAAATGTTATGTGAGTATCCATACGCATTTTCAAAATTAATTCCCTTTTGTGTTCTGATTTTGCAAGAAAATTCCAGGAAAACAAATTCGGGGAGAGAAAGGGGCAGTCATGGCCTCCGAACACCACATTTAAACCACTATTTTAAAATTTTTGCAGAATATACACTCTAAACTTTTAGTTTTGAGTGGTCCCATAGGAAAACTCATTTCTGAAATTATTCAAGTGAACAGAAAAGTGTTGCATTACATCTGCTCAAAATAGCTCAGATTTTGATTGTGGGACACTTAAACTGCTCACAGATTTGTCAGCAATTATTTGCTGTGATCTTGCCTCTAATGACAAATACAAAAATGATGCAATTCCTCCACTTCTCTAAATCCCTTTCTTATTCATTCAGATTTCATACTTCTAATGACAGCACTGCATGGGAAAGTTACAGTCTGGTGATTCTCTACTATAAACCCATGTCTTTTTCAACATCATTGCTGCTCAGAGCACAAAACCTCTCCCGAGGAACGTGGCCAACATACTTTCTTCATAGAGGTATGTAGCAATAAAATGTATTTTATTTGAATGGGTGTCCAGGTTTCCAAAGGATTCTAATCTCCCTAAGGAATAATGCTGTAGTGATATCATCAYTTACTTCTTTAATCTTTACGTCATCTACTAACTTTGTCAAACATGTTAAACAGATGTTAARCAGTGAAGGGGCACAGCTTATCTTTGTGAAACCTTCCTAGAAACACACCATTTATAGTGAGATTTTTGTGGGACTAATCTATTGAAAATGTGCCAGATATAATTTATATTGCTTTATTTTAGTAATTTTATTTTGTACGGGTCAAGTGAAAAGTCTAATCTGTATCTATCATGTGAGTTACCTGCAAAAACCAAACTTGTTATGTTTCTATACCMTGAAGCTCAAAGGCTTGTTAGCAGATTCATGATTTGATGGAGCCATATGTCAGCTTCTTCTCTGTAGCACAAAAGAAACAAAGGCCAGTGAAACCAAGGCTACTTGGAGGCCTCAATTGCTATTGTCTCATGTTAAGTATTGCGACTTTTACCATAACCATGATAATTTCTGACTTTCCTATGTATGCATACTCCCTGGATGAAGGAAAGGGAAACAAAAGACACATCAGCTTTCTAAAGAATCTACTTCTCAGTTTTCCACTGGAGCAAAACTGTATTTAACCTAGACCTTTCTTTCTCTGATGCATGTTGTTCTGTGTGGAAATTTGTGAACAAAAAGTAAACATTGGGAGTAAATCAGAAATGCAAGAATATAAATGCTAAATATACATACTGTACTCAGATCCTTATTCATTTTTCTCCCTCTTTCAAAATAGGGCAATATTTCTCAGCTTAGCCTAAGAACAGCCTACACATTAGGTTCTTAAGGATAAGCTTTTAAGGATCCTAACACATGTGGCTGTTTTATTATTCCATGTAAAATACTGAATTTTCTCACTCAAGTCCTTATATCAGCCTAAGATTTATTTCTAGTGTGTGTTTGGCCTTTTTCTGCAGCTTCTAGAAAGACTGCAGAACCTGTATGGAGACACAGTGCTGGTGCAGAAATCCTCTCACATATTGGTCATAGCTCTGGGGCCTTACATGGAAAAGGAAAATCTTTATAGTGTCTGGTAACACATTGCAGAACACCTGGATCTTTTGTATAATATCTTACACACTTAMCTCTTTGTTGGTAGCATTCTTCCTAGGTAGTGAGATATCTTAAAATCATGTATAAAGTAATAAGGCTGTCTAATAGTGTTATCTGACCTAATGCATTTAATGCAATCAGTAGAGAAAATAAAAGTCATAACAACAGCTTGGAACTGTGTTTAATGCGTGTAGTAAATACTATGAAATATACCAACATACAAAAGCTACTGTAGGAAGAATGTACAAGCCTAGAACAAATAGAATGTGTGAGACTCTGATGGAAAACTTTATTTTCTATGTGATTTCAAGTCATTCTATGGGAAAGGTGCATTTTTCAATTAAGCACTAGTATTCAGATTTTATAGTCATGGGCTATAACCCAGTCCATGCAATCAGTGTAAGAAGCTTAAAAGATGGGTTGACAGTATATATTTTATGCTATACTTGGTAGAATGTCTCCATAAGGGTCATTAAAGGCAAATAGAAGCAAAAGATTTGCTAATATATATTAAAAAATGGAATTTTTGAATCAGCCAGGCATGCCTCATTTAGAATGAGTTTTGTTTGATGTTTTCTTTGCCTTTTTTTTACTTTTTACTTTAACAATGCTGTTGTCCTACATTGACCTCCTTCAGCATTTTCTCTGTTCTCGCATATCCAGACCAATCTCTTAGGAGCCCATCAAAATCTTCACAGCTTATCATAGATCATTTACATATTCACAGATAATATAATATCATCAGGAAAAAAAGACAGACCATTCACTGACAAAGGTAAGTTTATCTTTACCTTAGTAAACAATGATGACAGTATTCTAAGATGATACATGTGTTGGTGTGTGCATATGAATTGTATATGTGTATATGAACATTATATACATATATAAACCTGACATATATTTTATATATATATTTTATCTTATTTATTTATTTATTTATTTATTTTATTACTTTTTTTTTATATATATATGTAAAAATAATATATATTGAGGCATTTGTTTTTGGCTTTTGCTGTCCCACCTTCACACTGGCCGTTATAGTGCCAGTAATGAACCTTGCTCTGCATTAAAATTCCCATTGTGGTCCATTACCACTTCCTCCATTGACAGCTCTATTGCTTCATCAGCTATTGTGATAGGTGTGACATTGATTAGAGACACTAGATACACATTAGCAACATCACAGCATGCATAATAAACAAGGTATCTGTTAGCATATGCTAAAAATGGGCACAGAAGCATGTAACCCATCAAGAAGCTCTGTGTCAGGATCTGGGGAGCATCCCTGCACCTGGAGGTTTGCTGCCCCAGCTTGGGGCTGGCGCAGCTACCCACCTGACCTGTGGCACCTCCCTGTCCTGTTCTCATCCTCATCCTCATCCTCATTCCTGCAGCAGAGTCYGATGGCTGCCCTGGCTGTCCCAACACCAGCTCACCCAACACCAGCCCTGGGAGTCCTTGGCCAATTCTGCAACCTGGTGGTCAGCTGGCCAAAGCCGTAGGAAATGAAAGGACCTTGACAGGAAATCAAAATTTGTGGGTTTTTTTTTTTTTTTTGGCTTGTTTTCTCCTCCTTGCAGTCAGCCTGCTGCARGAAAGAAAGAGACAAAATGAGGTACTCCTAAAACAAGCAGTGCTCTGCAGCAGTCCAGATCCTCTTCCTCCTCCTCCTGTATCTCCTGCTATAGCTCCTTCAGTGATGGCTCTCTGATCAACTCATGCTAAAACAAATGGAAAATTTTCACTGGCATTAATGAACTTTGACCTTACACCCCAGGGAGCAGAAACATGGCAGTCGCATTGTCAGAAATAGATGGATATCTTTGGGGCACTTTTTCCTCCAAATGCACTAGTCTGAGAATATGCAAGTTGGAACAACATGAAGAGTATTAGTCTTTATGAAAATGAGAATTTTTGAGAATATGAATTCTCAATTTCATTTTGAGCATATGAACTCCAAAATCATAGTAAAAATGGTAGCTTTTCTCAGAGAACTCAGAGAAGGCTGAGATAGAATTTGGGAGAAGCTCAAACAAGAACAGACCACAGACTAAGTTTCTTAAGATGCAAAAAAAAAAAAAAAAAAGAATGAAGAAAGTTAGTAGTGTCCTGCCTTTATAGCTTGATGGAAGTACAAACTTTAACTTGAAATTGGCACAGAGGATAGAGAACCTTTACTGTTGCTGTTTATACCACCTCCTAACCCGTTTGCTTTAACATTTTCAGAGCCTATATGACCCTCAGTTACTTCAAGCACCAACAGGCTCCCAAGCTGGGTGTAGTTTTCACCTTGCTGTCTTTATCTTCATCGAGGATGCTGCTTAATGCTCAAATTCCATCTTCAATGTAGATCCCATGTTTCTTCCTGCCTTGTATCTCCTGCTCTACTCCTGCCTTGATATTGACTCATTCCAGCTCCTGTAATCAACACTTGCTCATCTGACTGTATCATCCCAACGTGAGGTCATTAAAACTCTGTAGCACTTGCATCTGCCTAATTAAACTTATTTTCATGTGTACAATTACAGATAAACTGCTCARCTTCTGATATTCCCAGTACTCTGCCTTTTCCCACTTCAGCTTGCCTGGATCTAACAAAATTGGTTCTTATCTTGTCTCATATTCCCCCTGAAATTCAGTGTCCAAAGTGTGTTGTAGATTCTACCTTTCTCYACCTTATTTCAGAAACATCAAGAGAAAGAGAATAACTGGGAGAGAGGAAGGATTTTTTTTTCTCCTAAAAATCACTCATTCCTGCAAACCAGCACCCTACCCTCATCTATAGCATTTTGCTGTCATTTATTAAAGTATTTATAAAAGATATGCAGCAATTCTATATGGAATAAACCCCTTTCTCTCCCTTTATTTCAAGCTGACTCTTTATATATGTAATGTAAGCCACTGATTACAAAGTTGTTGCAATCTGTTCCTTTTTCCCTGTTAACCCCCGAAAGTAACGTGCTTGGTACAGAAAAGGCTTGCAAGAAATGCTGGCAGATGAACTGATGGTTGATAGATTTGCACACTGTTTGAAAGAATCATGTGCTTGCACATAGGATATGTTTCCTATCTGGGATAAGAGCTTTAAGACTGAAAAGTTTCAGTTTCCAATTTTTCATTTCTTTTTCTAGGGAGCTAGCTGAGCTCCAAGCAGGGCAGGTAGCACCATGTGGCCTGCCCATGCACCTGCCTATCCTGAATGCAACCCCATTCACTGCTGCCTGTCCACATCCTTCCTTCCCTCCTTCCCAGAGTCACAGCACTTTTTTTCCCTTTTTTTCTTTTCTTTTTTTTCCCCTTTTAAATMGTTTGAGAGGCTGATAGAAAAATAAGAATGTCGTAGCCATCACTAAAGAGCTTCCTTGGAAATTGTGGGTATCCCACCACATCTTTAAATCTTTACAGCCTTATATCACACAGCTGCTGCACTTAAGAGTTTTCCAAATCCTGATTACTAAGAAACAAAGAACGAAAAATATTATTTATCTGTTAAGCTTGGTTTTCCAACGGAGTGACAAGAAAGAGTTGAAGGAATTATTATTCTCTTAATCTAACACACAACATGTGTATTTTCTTGGTTTTGGCATTCTCCACAGGGACTGGAGGACTTAAAAAACAACAATGAAGAATGAATGAAAAAAAAAAGAAAACAAAAGAAATGAAGAGTTTTACGGGGTTTTTCTTTGTTTTGAATGCATAAATGTCAGTAAAAAAAACTGTTAGAATTTTTGTCCTTAAAATAAGTCAAAATGTGTATCATTGTGAAGCCTGGTAGAAGTATTTGAAGCCAAACACAACAAGCATAAAATTTATGGCAAAGGCACAGAGCACGTCTGCGATTTATTCCCTAAAAATGTATTGACAAATAAAACTCAAAAACAGCAATATCAGTTTCTGCCTGTGCGACCACAAATTACATAGCATTATCCTTCAGATTAAACGCTAAAGCAGGGGAGCCCAGAGATTTGGAAAGGCCCCACTAATTAATCCCAAAGCAGGCGATATATCGATAAATGCACTATTTTGAATTAAAAAAAAAAAAAAAAAGTAGTAGTAATGGCAATATTTAACTAAGTGGATGGGGGCCATTCCCGAAGTGATGTCACGCAGCCCGGGAGGCATTGTCACGTTCAGGAAATTAGCACGGCCTCATGGCAGCAGAAAATTTCCTTGAGCTGCAATAAAGCCTAAACGCTCTCCGACTCCCGTGATCCTTTGTAGTCCTCATTTTAAAGCACTGCCTTAGTGCGCTAAACCTGCAAAGTTTTCTTTTGAGCGGCTGTGAGTTGATTAGATCTATTTCAGCCTAGTAGTGGTAATAGGCTCCTCTCTGTGAAACTGCTTAGCCTCTGCTCCCCTGGCAGCTGGAGAAACTGGAATTAATCAGGTCTGCTGGGGACTTCTTCAGCATCTCCGCAGGCCAGCGACTCTGGAATCATTTACTACAGAATCTTACTGTCAACTCTTTGTCATTTAGGCTTTTGATTATGCTTGCTTTCTTCAGAAAAAATGGAAATGGGTGACAGATTATCCTAATGCAGAATTTCACTAGTTACTTTTATAGGCATCTATTATCCTCCTTTGTACTGTCCATAAAAAGAATGTAGGTGGGTGCAAGGATTTTTGGGGGCAGAAAGATGAAGAATGCGCTGTTGAAATTAACATATTCCTCCTAATTAAAGTATGCTTCTTCCTAATAAACTGACCCTCCCCACTGAAATAACAGCATATTGTTTTGCTGCTGGCTCACTCACTATCTAGATTCCCCCCCACACACTTCTTAAAAATCAATAGCTGGGGAAAAAATCTTGAATATCATTACTTACTATGCTACTGTCCAATAAAAATACTATCTACTAAATATACTATGGATTCAGCCTGATTTTTAAAGATGCATTAAATATGAACCTTAAGAATAAATGCATATTTACACAGACTGCTAACTACTCAAAGCTCTAATGGTAGGTAAACAGAGTCTACACTGGAAAAAAAAATCTACTTTCTTCTCAGCATTTTATCCCCCAAATACATGGTTCTATAGACCTGGTGTTCTGTCAATAAAGTCAATGGGCAGTCTGGCGCAGTCCTTAATGAAATCATCATCTCTTTTGACATTTAGAATTTTTGAGTCTTATATTACAAAGTTATTCATAGTSGTATAAGTCTCTTTGTATATATGAGTAGTAATGCTACATGAAATTCTGAGAATCAAGATTTTCATAGGTGGTGTAGAGAAATATTATATAGCAAAAAGTTGAAAATGCTATCAAAACACATTATTGATATGAATCTTTTGTGTTATACATATAGGCATTTAATAACATAAAGAAAGATAAAAGCATTTTGATGAGTAGTCTTCATTTCACTAAGGAATCTGGCAAAGGATGCTCTCCCCAAGCAAACAATAAAGAATAGCATACAAATAAACATTTTTTTCTTTTATCTTTTTCATATTCCTCTTTGATTCTTCTTTGTTGTTGCTGCCTGGTTTAGCTTCATTGTAGAGAGCAGATATAAACAGGAGTTGCCATAACATGTTAAATACATTGAAATTTTAAAATAATGCCTGATTTTTTTTAAACAAGCCTGTCTTTAAAAAGTAGGCATTCCAACTTTAACAAGTGAAAAATGGCTGTACTGKATGAAAGTCAAAATGCCCAAGCTGTTTCATTATTAATAACCTATACAATTCAGAGTATTACAGAAA